ATCTACTTCTGTAGTGATACTGCCTTGGAAACCCAAGGAGGGGTCGCTATGAGTTGGGTCCGACTCGAGGGCACATAACATCAACATGATAAAAATCAATGCATTGCTACTATTTCAAAAGTCTGGAACAAGTTAAGTATGGCAAGAAAATAATCATTCCAATACAGTGCTGAGAGACAGCTCAAGGATAGTGTAGATTAAAAGAGAAAGCCATCAGGGTGCCTCATAGGTGCTAAAAAACCAACTTTAATATTTGAGCTCAAGACTTGAGCAAATTTAAACATCTGGTCAATGGGCCTCTTGGAACCTGCCTTTGAGGTTGGCCAGTGGTCAAGGTTGAAACTTGAGACATAGTGGTTTAGGCTTGTATGTGTACTAATTGATTTTGGAGCATGAGAAGCAATCAGACAGGAAGACTCCTTTAAGAAAACAGGAAGTGAAGTGTTTTATGTGATATGGGATGCTTTGGAGTTCTGTTTCTATTCTGAGAAAAAAAACAAAACTTGGCTTTCTGAAAAATTCCTTGGAAATTAACGTTGGACCGTGAATAAACCATATATTCAGTTCTTCCTGACTTCTTCCTGTTTAAAATTAGTTTCATGTAAATATCACTGATGTGAAAACTTTCAGAACAGTAGAAAAGATTAAGATGATCAGGAGGAAGTCACCCCAGACCTCTGAAGGGCTCCTTCTGGAAAGACTGGAGGTTTCTTTAACCCAAGCCTAGTATAAATACTCCTGGAAAACCACCTCAAACTCTACTTCTCCTTATGCCCACTGCCTGTACCATCTCTTTCTTGGATTTCCACAAAAGCCTTCCAACTGGCTACTCTGGCCAACTGCTGTTCAGAAAGGTGGTGTCAATTTTCAGTTTCTGCTCGCCCATGTAAATCAACTGATGGGAGTAAGATTTTAAAAATCTTCAGGCATTAGGATTTTAATCTGACAGATTAACAATTTGTAGGGGGAAAAAGTGACACGTTACCTCCAGATAACTCTGAAGGAAACCTCAACAGAAACATAGGACATTAATTCCCTACGTTATCAATCCTGCTGAAGAAAACTACTGTTGGACAAGTGGTCATATCTGGAAAGATAAACCAGGTTCACATTACTTTCCTAGTGCAGCAGTATCGCCCAGGGCTTAAAAAATGTAACATTTAAAGATTATTTAGGGATTGCAGAATGAATGACTTTCTGCATCTTTTAATTCTACCAAATCACTGTCAAGATGGTAGTGAGATGCCAAAGACTTTAGGACTAAATTTTAAGATGAGTAACATCAATGTCCAAACTCAGAATTTGTATCATTCTTCCACTAATTTAAGCCCATGGCTGTTTCTTTTGAAGTTCTCCAGTGTTTATCCTTCCCGCCCACCAGTTAGCATCATACATAGGCAGACCACGACATAAACACAGAGCCCCAAGAAACAGAAAAGGAAGAATCAGCATATATACTAGAGTTATAATTTTTATTTAAAAGAG